CTTCGGAGCTCGACGCGTTAGCAAGTACCGCAGGACGAGTCGCGACGCGTCGAAAGCAGCACCACCTAATGAACAGGTGTGCAGCCTACATCAAGATGAATACACGCAAAGTACGTGACATGACCTGAATGTAGGCTCTAGGATGTTCAGTTCCTTGCTTATAAATGATGGAGCTCTTGTAATGTTGTCAAGCATCTTCCTCAATCCAATGCTCAAGGCACTGGAATCAATGAAAATGTAAAGCCGCAGTGGCAGACCAGCAAAAATTGCCCCGCTGAAGCCCCCGAAGGAGATTCATGACAACACCACACCCCGCTGTGCAATGGAGGCGACGTTGTCAGACCATCAGATGCTTGAGCTTGATGAGTCGCAAGAAGGTCTAGAGATTGTTAGCAGGTGTAAACGTAGGGGGGTGGTTGGGGAATACGAACAAGTATTCAGAGCTTGGGAGGGACGGGGGCGGCGCGGTATAAGTAGCCAGGTGGTCTTGGCACGCTAGTAGGTCACGTGACGAGCAAGTGCGGTCCAGAGGCCAGTGCGCGGGGGGACTGCGGGTAAAGGCCGGCAGTGAGATGACCGGCTAGGTCCATGCGCCCGCCTGAGGGATGCTTCCCCATCAACTCATATCTTTCGACATGGCCCTGCGTAATGCTGCACATGCACTTTCACACATGCGCTTGGCATCTGCAAACGACGCTTGGGTTTGACGACGAGTGCCAATCGAGCAGAGCCGCGCGGTTTCGTTATCGCGGAAAGTTTCCAAGCGCCGCGACGCATTTAGCTCGTTGCCTGGAGATCACACTACCCGGGCGCCTACATCCTAACATCTACTACAGAGTGGAACATTGTCACCATCCCAGGCAAAAACTGGGTCGATGGCTCTACTTCTCTTGAGCAGCCTCGTTACGACGCGCTTCCGATCGGCCGGCATGCGCAACATTATCGTCTACGCCTTCGACCTAATATTCCATCCAGTGCCTTCATTTTCCAATCCTCTTTTCATACAGACGTTGCTGAAGAATACCATAACTATGCAAAAGCTCGTACATTGCCCAGCCATACCTGAGCTCCGCCTTTCTCGTACCTCCTTCGTAGAGGTCTTCATAGTCGAGCATGCGTATATTGCAAGCCTCGTTGGGCGCCCGTCGGTCTCTGTAGTTTTCAACCTCCTTTCTATCCAGAAACCTTTCCCAGAGAAGTAGTGTCGTGTTCGGATTTGCGTTGAATAAACGTACGGCTGTCTCTGTCGGCGTACCAGGTTCGCAGACTAAAGGCCGCATCTCCTGTACCAAGGCCGTAAGGTTGATAAGATGGTATTCGGATAGCTTGAAACCGATTTCCCGCCGGATATTGTCCATCATAGGACCAGTAAAACTCCCCGAAGTGTCGAAGGCTCCTTTTGGGAATTCAAGGTACGGTTCATTGCGCGCGCGAGCTTGGGGTGACTCTATGACAAGGACGTAGCGCTCGTTCGTGTTGTCTCTTGGACGAAGTACTATCATCACGTTGGCGTTCACCGCGGTTCTGCCAACTGTGGGCGGGGGGTTGGCTGGCATAGTGTCCAAGCCTCCTCTATTAGCGGGAAAATCCGCGGTCTTTTAGGGAGAGAGCGAGAGTATGTGGCGTGCAAGTATCGCGTCCGAGACGTTCAAGAATGATGGAAGGACCGGAAGATCGCGATTCGCTGACGAATAGGGAGCAATGGAGCTAGTGGAGTAATGTAGACACGAGATACTTTGGAGCGGTGGACGGCGATGAAAGGCGTCGGATGGGACACATACTTATACCTTGATCTCAAGCAGCTATACTTGGGCATGGTGCTGTGGCAGCGCTACCTCAATGTTCGTTCAAAGAGACCCTCAGTATAGCGTTGATGTCTTAGTGCAGATCTTCCAACTTATGGCTGGATACACCAATGGGTTGAGGTTCTGATGCGCGCGCAACTTTATTTGGACGATTCGATGCTTCCCCACCAGCCGTTGGTCTCAAAACCATGCGCGGCGCTTACTAGATGACCTTGAGATAAGCACATGCATGGCGGCAAGAACCCGCTCAGTGGGGATGTGTATGTGCAGGGGCTTTGGTATACAACTGTTATTGCCACACTGGCTACATTCCGTTCACCTTTTGGAGGTCACTACTGAGCACTCATTGCTGTGTCCGACCTATGCGAATTTGCTTCTGTCGCTCTTCAATCTGTTCGGTTTTGCCCAGTCGATCGTATAGCGCCCAAGCAGCGAGTGTCTTAGCATCTCTTGCGCCTTCTTTCCAAAGCACCTCGAAATTGCGGATGCGCAAAGTGATCAACTTGTCTCTGACACCCTCGCCACCCAACTTGCTCCTGAAAGATTCGAGTTCCTTTCGGTCCAGGTATTTCTCCCACAATAGCATCGGCATATACTCGTCGAGGTTTCCAGGGCTCATATACACCCCGTTCTTTAGCTGTTCGTTGGTTTCAGCCTTGTCAAGAGCCATTGCGGTTAGGTCGATCAGCTCCTCTGCCCTGACATTAAGCCCCGTCTCTGCGCGAATCTGCTCCATTGCTTTTCCAACTACAGTGCCAGACTTGTTATCCAGCATTCCTGCAGGGATCTCAAGGAAAGCAGTGCTGCATGCGCCGATTCGCGGCTGCTCTGTCAAGATGACCCACTTCTCGTCCACGTTGTCCTTGGGTCGTAGTATCATAAGGATAGCGACGGTACCGCCGCGCAAGAAAATGACTCGGTCGAGATTGGTGTGGCTCTTCTTCATCAATGCCTCGATCGTCATGAAGCCTATCATTCCGTCGTCAAAGACGGTGACGTTGTGTACATTCACGCCCTCGAGGCGCCATGGATCCCCTTCAAACGTGTGTCCGGGAGTTGTTTGCACAGTGAGATTCTTTTGGAGTGCTTCCAACCAGTTACTGAACGCTGGAAATCCGAGCAGCTTCTCTTCGTCGAGGATGTGGCCATCTGCAACTGTGACAGGAATGGCAGGCTCCCAGGCTGACAGCAGGAAAGTGGATGGCATCCCGAAGTCTTCGGCTACCTACCTAGGTAGGTAGTACTTGAGATAGCCTTGGAAGCAGAGCGATATAATTACAGGATCCCTGTGAAAGCTTTTGCCCTAGTAGCGGACGTTTTCAAGCTGTCTTGTTGAGTCCCGGGGCCGTCTTGTACAAGATAAGGCTGGAAGTGATGGTGGATGCGCTGTGAACCTTGGAAAGCTCCCCGAGGTCGTTTCGGGCGCAGCGACAAGCTTACATACCTATCTTACAGCGATCGGGATGTCGCATAACCTTCATGCATGTGATAAGAATAATCACGCACATTGCAGGTGGTACAGGAAACAAGGTCACGCAGTTCTGCGCGCCAACATCCCGAGGTCTCCTAGGCCCACAACCACCCCCCAGCAACTGAGCAGCTACCTAGCTATTGATCTCTCAGCAGCTAGCCATCAGTCTACCTATATTTTGCATGAGGAATTATGGCAACTCTCAAATGTATTGTTGTACCGCATACCGCTGGTGCGCAGCAGTGACGACCGTGGCTGAGATGCTGCGGGGTAAAACTATGGGATGAATGCACGGCGGCTGCCTTGAGGGAGGTCTGCATTCAGCTGGGCAGGGGTGCACCCAACCCCCGATTACTGCGCTCTTGTGTGACCCTTCCAAGGTTATATCCCGCATGTTCCCCTTAAATACCTAGGTATCTAGTCAGTATTTCCCAAGAATCGCAACAAACCTTGTCGCCTCGCCTCGCCACGAGCGCGTCATTCCTTTCATTCATGCCAAAGTAGCAGCCCTTAGGCTAAGCGCGGAATACTCAGCCTTGCGTCCAACAAATAGCACCAGAGCTCACTCAGCCTTGTCTCCAAAAGATGATTTGTAACGTGTGTTTAGCTATGCTGAGGGGTGGAAGGGGAGCGAGGTCAGGGACTCACGATCTGACGTTTGATCATCACAAAACTACAACATCACTTCGAAGATCAAAAGAGGTAGACTGCAAGATATGTACGTCGTTGGGAAATGCGATTTGGCGCGACGTGAACCTGCTAGAGGATCAGTCGATCTCGATCACGGCTGTGCTTAAACCTCTGCCGAGCGGGTTCTCACTGGACTTCGATATCAACCAAAGGTTCAAGCGTGCGTACCTGCTGAAAGCAATCGGTATGTTTGACTATTCAATGAGGTCGCAATGTATTGAGTCTTCTTCACAGACCCCAATGAGCGCCGCCTAAGAACCCTGACGTCGTCAGAGTCTTCTTCCGATGAAGTCATCCAATTGGCGCATAGTTGGATGAACGAGTGTAAATGTGCGGACAGTTGGGAGTGCACCGGGGAAAGATGGTATCCGAAGCGCTTATTAGACCTCGGCGATATCCGAGGCATACGAGGCATCGGTGACCGAGACAGTCTAACAGTCCTGTCAGAATATAGCGATGTACAACGAGCAAAGGTGTATCTGGTCGAGACGGACGATGTTTTCATGCCAAGCCGATATGTACCAAGCAAGTTGACAGTCAAGTCCTGGAACAGCGATAGAACAAAGATGGGTCGTATTGAAAGAGAAGATGGTCGATACGTTACGCTGAGCCATTGCTGGGGTAGGCCTAAAGGCGTCCAAGGACAGCTTAAATTGAAAGTAACCAACAGAGAGCGTTTCATGCGGGAGGGTATCGAGTTGCGGGAGCTGCCGAAAAGTTTCCGAGACGCGATCCTGTTCGCTTGTCATCTGGAGAAGGTCGGGTTCATTTGGATTGACTCGATGTGCATCATGCAGTCGACTGAAGATCATAACAGCCGATCTATGGTTCATGTGGGTGATTGGCTGAGCCAGAGTCGGCAGATGGACAAGATATACCAAAGATCATTTCTCAACATATCCGCTACTGCTGCGGTTGATGGAGATCAGGGTTTGTTTTTTAGCCGACAGCCTGAATCCCTTTGGGAGAACGAGATCAACGTCAACCATACGGGAATGGCTCCTTTCGGAAAACATAGTACTGGAGGCTCGAAAATGGAACAGTTGACGAGGTGCGCTCTCATCGACGTGTCCTTCTGGGACGACCTCGTTGAGAGCGCAGCTGTTAACCGTAGAGGCTGGGTTCTGCAGGAACGTCTCATGGCACCACGTGTACTACATTTCTGTCGCGACCAGATTGCCTGGGAGTGCTCTCACTTCGATGATGCCGAGGGTTATCCTGGAATGGCCATAGGACTGAGGTCTAAGTTGGGAGCTACGATAGACGAAGGACGACTCAAAGACTTAACCCCAGAGGCTGGGCGGGCACTACGAAGCAATCGCCTAAATGATCTTCCAGACCCTGATGAGGGCATGGTAGATCTGTACATCTACGAACTGTGGAAACACATTGTAGAGGTGTATTCCAAAACGCAGATCACAGTATCGCGCGACAAACTTATAGGGTAAAGTACGCCACGAGTAATGTACAAGACATGTTGCTAACTTCTTACTAGTATGTATCTCTTCTACTACGCTTTGGCTGCGCAGCAATTAAGGTTGTTCTAAGACATGTTACTGTTCGCGCTAACGGCTTGATAGCGCTGTCCGGAATTGCGAGACACTTCTGTAGTGACCAGAAGCTATTCACAGTACCGAGCACGTATGTTGCAGGCCTCTGGAGAAACAATCTGGAAAGTCAGCTTCTTTGGCAAGTGAACGAGCTTTATCGGGATGGGGTGTTCGAGAACCCTGGACGACGCGACGCAACTCGAGCGCCTTCATTCTCATGGGCATCAATCGATACCCCCCACGGAATCACCTATCCCGATATCACAGACTACGGGGCTGCAAGAGCAAACGAGATGCGCGACCGGGATCAGGGCGAAAGAGAGGACTCGTATCCAGAGGAAGAGCTAATGCTCGAAGTACTTGACCATCATATCATCCTCTCGGACGAGGACAATGAGTATGGCATGGTAGAACAGGGAAGACTGTTGCTCAAACCACGCTATCTTAGGGCTATCAAGCTCCGGAAGCTTCACCCGCTGTTCCGAGTCGGGTACAGCTGGGGACTGGAGCAAGATGAAATCAAGCCTGACATGTCGCAACAAGATTCCAAAAGGTCTGCGCATCATCTCGAACACGCCAATCTCTATCTGGACGCCCCGGAATCTGACGTCGATATCTTCCGCGATGATGCAAAACTATACTGCATGCCCGTTGCGTATGGTGAGCGGACAGTACGGAAAGCATTTCGTTATTTGTACTGCTTGTTGCTCAAGTACGAAGGGGCGACAGATTTTGGTTCCAAGGGCAATGACCCAGGCGTGAAAGGGCATCTGTCGATGACAATACAGTATCCCATGTTTAGGCGAATTGGCATAACAAAGTTGTCTAACCATCTGGACGAAAAGGGCCAAGAGGCTTTGATGTCGGAGGAATACAACCAAACAATTGCTTTGTGTTGAATAACCTTGGAAGGGAGCGAGGAATTGTTCTGGTATTTTGGGGGGTTCTAGTCTCTTTCAAGGATTACGAGTAATGATTTTGTAGGTAAACAAAGTTCCAATATGTATAGATACGCGATGGCTTTGGAATTCCAGGCCTTGAATCAATCTTACCCCACCTTCCAAGATCTGCCCCTCATCCCCACCTTGACCATTGTCTCGCGCCCACCATACATTGCTCACGCCTGTCATCCGGACTCCAATTTCGCCATGTTCTAACAATATTCATGCTATCATTTGAAAATCACCCATCGATTACCTAATACGGGCGCTTGGGTAAGCTGCCACAACTCCACCAACCTCTACAGCCCACTAACATCTCAAAGTCTAGGGGTATGATTTGTAAGACACCTCTCAACACACCTCTTCTCAGCTCCTCTCCTAACATTCAACTTCAGTCGCTTCGCATTCTTCTGCGTACTTGTGAAAGGTCGTGGGTTCAATTCCCACAGCGTCCACATTCTTTTTGCCTTTTTTTTGCCGCCATAGCACAGAGGAAGGAGCACTAGATGTGGGTGTTTGGGATTGTGGTTCCCATGCTTTGTCTTTTTAGTTTATTCTTTTAGCTATCCCAAGTTCCTTTCGCTCGCCATGCTTCCATTCTTCTCGCTACGCGTAACGAGAACACATGGCGTGTGGGTGGCATTGCTTCTTGCTACCCCTTGACTGTGCTGCCAACGCGAGGGGTGTGTTCTTTCACTTCTTTTCACAAGGTTGGTAGCCAAAAGACATAATGCTAGCGAACCATCCTTCGGAACATCAAACACTAAAGAGGTGCAGGCATTGGCACAGAAAAGGGAATATATGAAGATCATCACAGACGTAGGCACATGGGACAGTACTTGTTTCTATGCGGTAGATCAAAATATCACGAGCTGTCACGACGAAGGAAGATATATATGCAGATCACATCCAAATGAATTGCTGCCAATGTCTAAAAGATATATACAAAGAAACCCAGGGGTATATGTGCGCCGTTTCCATCCACCAAGCCAGCAACCAGTGTGACTTGTCCAACCATTCCATCATTCGTCATGCACCGCTCAGTGCCTGGCGTGGTGCCTTGTGAGCCTCTGCCTGTGCTCCCTAATGTGTCTTGCCATGCGTCCCTTTGCGGCAGGAGGAGCGGCAGGAGGAGCAGGCGTTGGTGCCACAGGGGCGGGAGCGGGAGCGGTGACGGTATGGTAGATCGTCTGAACTACTGTGCGAATAGCTTCGACAGTGTCTGTGACGACGGGAACAGCTGGGTCGGCTGGAGGTGCCTTTTCAACGTTGGTGGGCGCTGGGGCAGGTACCGCTGGAGCAGCAGGTGCTTGAGATGCAGTGGGCGCTGGAGCAGGTACTCCAGGCGCAGCGTATGACTGCGATGCGGCAGGTACATCAGAAGGCTGGGCGACGCTTTGCGCTGTGCTAGGAGCGGTGGCAGCGCCACTCGAGTTTTGAATTGCCGTGCTAGTGCCTTCAGGAAGCGAGGCAGAGGGTGTTGTCGATGGCTTAGGTTTGTTGCCGCTATCTGCGCCACCAGAGGGCCATTGGAAACCAGACATGGGGCCGGTCGGAGCTGGAGCTGGAGCCGGAGCATTGATCTGCGTGGTTGGTGCGGCGATGGGGCTTGGGGTCTCGGCGGGTACGCTGGGGGAGGCATCGTCGGCAGGAGGTGATGCGACTGGGGCGTTGGAGGAGAGGGTCTCGCTCGTCGGGATTGGTGCGAAGATGCCGGATACAGAGGCGGTGATGAGCGGAGGAACTGCAGGGTATTCGGAGGGCTCGGGAATGCCAGAAGGCGCAGCAGGTGTCTCCGATGGGACAGGCGCAGAACCATAGGCAGCACTGCTCTGCTCAGGCACCGAAGAGGGCTGAGGAACAGCGGCGTATCCGTTGTCTTGGTAGACCTTCAGGGAGTTGATCGTCCAGTACGCCTCAGTAAAAGCTTCTGGGTTGTTCTTGACCCATTCTTCGCATGTGTCTGCCTTCTTGCTGCAGGAGCTCTTGTTCCAAACACTGCTGCTGCCCGCCCATTGTCCACAGAATGTAGTGTCGAATACGATCTGCTGCTGCTTGAATGTGCTCTCGATGTCACAGGCGCCGGCGAACTTGGCAGCTGGCTTGCCCCAGCCGCTTGGGTCTGGGCTGTCACCGAGGACGTCTTCCGGGATGGAGTCGCGAGGAAAGAAGTAAACGCTGATGGCATCGGCGGTCCATTGTGTCGCGTAGACACCGCCACCACCCTCGTTCAAGCCTGCACCGTAGCTCTTGGTCGATGGGTGTTCGATGGAGCATCCGGCGTTCTTCGACTGATCCTCGGCAGCGACATCACAGTTTCCCGTGGTCACTGAGCCAGCGAATTGGGTGGTGTCTTCACCAATCTGGCAGCCGGGGCCAGTGTGGAGGGTCATGCCGTTGTTCGTCTGGTCGTTCACGCCTTCGATGATGTCGATCTCGCCATTCTTTGGCCAGTTGGGGCCAGTCGTCCAGAATCTATCAATGTGTAAGCAACATGACTTTCGATGGATGAAAGTCTACTTACGCTGGCCATGTACCACAGCCGAATGGCATATGGGCAACATCCAGCACAATCAGCCCACTGTCGTAGGTCTTCTTGCTCTGGATACGAACACTGGGCCTTCCCTCAGGGGTCTGGTTCTGTGTGTCCACGCCCCAGGAAATCGCTGAAGAAGACGAGTTGATGAGGTTCGTCTGCCTCGCCGTAGCCTCGTCAACGTACTTGACGAAGCCCTCTGTCGGATCGGCATCAGTGAAGAAGTCGAAGGCCCCGTAAAAGTCGGTCATGTAGTCATCTTGGAGAGTATAGCCAGCTATGCTCAGTTGGAAAAAGGCCGCAGCCGAAGTGAGTGTGGAGAAACGCATCGTCGAGACGCTGAAAGATAAGAATAGTAATGAGTGACTGCGTACTAGACGCGTGAAGAAAAAAGGCACAAGAACGGAAAAGACGACTGTATAGTTTGGCGATGTAACGAGGCACCAGATGGTCGGAAAGGGACGGCCTGCCTATATACGCAGGCCTAAAACGAAGGCGTGGCAACGACCCTGACATAGCAGCCACCGATTCGCCCCAACGGCTTCGTCTAGAGGATAGACGAGCGCGGGAGAGTGTACATCTCCCGTTAGGCACATCGGGCTCCGTTTCAACAAGAGGGGAGTTATAGACGGACCGAGTTTATCTCCGGTTAGCAACATTGAGGGGGACCTGCAGGAACCAGTCAGGTACACAAGATGGGGGTTCAATAGCGCTGAGCAAGGCTGCCCGGATGTTTAACCAAACGTGCGCCGTTTCATGAGAAATAGGACGGATGGTCCGTTGGTGAACGGGGAGAGGCGCTTGAAACAGCGAGAAGCGCACATCCCGGTGGATACGTGGCGGGGCCTACGGTTATTATCGATTGCCTGAGGCATTTGCCATGCTCATCAGCATGTGATTCGTCGTCGACGCGTTGAAACGTGAGGTGATCGGGGGTTGGGATGAAGGAGAGCGACTGCTGGCCAATGCCACGCGCCGGATTTAGCGCTTCTGGAAGCGAGCGCGGCCAGTGCTGGCGCTCCACCCCCCTGAAACCGACCGTTCAACCAATGAATCGGAAAGTCGATCTACACAACTCGAGTACAAATAAGTGCTTTTTGCAGGTGGGTGTATTGTCGACGTGATGGCTGAGGCATACCAACTTACTTGCAACAGAAAACATAGAAGAGATCATAGTGGTGAGATCTTTGTTCATCTTGATAACTACACAAGGTTCATGTTTGGACTATATCAAGTTTACTCAACAGCGCATATGGGCGGGGAGTTCCAGCCCAAGTATACATGATTACTTCATTCATATCTAGCATTACGTGTCTTCATTAATGAGGCGGCACATTCACTGCATCGACTCGATAACAATGGCAGAGGCGCCACCACCACCGTTGCAGATGCCGGCACAGCCAATCTTGCCCTTCTTCTCCCTTAGCACACCGAGCAGTGTAGTTGTGATCCTGGCTCCGGAGGCACCGAGCGCGTGGCCGAGCGCGACAGCACCACCGTGCAGGTTGACCTTGTCTTCTGGGATACCAAGGATCTTCATGTTGGCGAGCGCAACGACGCTGAAGGCCTCGTTGATCTCGAAAGCATCGACAGCAGAGAGCTCGACCTTGGCGTGCTTCAGAGCCTTGGGCATAGCGAGCGCAGGGGCGGTGGTGAACTTGGAGGGGTTCTGCTCAGCGTCACCCCAGCCGAGGATCTTAGCAATGGGCTTGAGGCCGTGCTTCTTGACAGCCTCTTCAGAGGCAAGAACGAGAGCAGCAGCGCCATCGGAGAGCGGTGAAGCGTTGGCAGCGGTGACAGTTCCGTTTCCGGGCTTGAAAGAGGGCCTCAGTGTACGCGTCTTGGACTCGTTGAACTGTGATTAATAAGTAAGAGAGTGTCGATTAGTGAACACTCAGGGTCGCGACTTACGTTCTTGGGCTCATCGTCGCGGTCGACGACGACCGCAGGCTTGCCGCGTCCAACGGTAACCTCAATGGGAGCGATCTCCTCCTTGAACCAGCCGGCCTCGTGTGCGGCGTTGGCCTTCTTGTAGGAGCGGATGCAGTAGTCGTCCTGGTCCTCGCGGGAGAAGCCGTGGTCGTCTGCGCACTCCTCTCCCTGCAGACCCATGTGCTCCTTCTTGTATGCGTCGGTCAGACCGTCCTTCAGCACACCGTCGACCAGGGGCTGGTCTCCGAACTTGGCGCCGGTCCTCAGGTTGGGGAGGTAGTGGGGGGTGTTGGACATGCTCTCGGTTCCCGCTGCGACGACGATGTCGGCATTGCCGGTTATGATGGTCTGGGCGCCGACAATGAGGGCCTTGATGGAGGAGGCGCACACCTTGTTGATGGTGGTTGCGACGGTCGACTCGGGGAGGCCAGCGCCAATGGCACACTGGCGGGCAGGGTTCTGGCCGAGGCTGGAGGGTTGTCAATAGAGTTCTCCTGGAGTTTCGGCATGTTTGGTGTTGTACATACTTTGCGGAGAGAACATTGCCAACGAAGACTTCCTCGACATCGGTGGGCTTGATGCCAGCGCGCTCAACGGCAGCTACAGGAATTGTTAGAATAGGTTCATGTTCCAATGGCGACGACTTCATATACCCTTAATGGCGTGAGAGCCCAGCTGGACAGCACTCAGGCTCGAGAGGGAGCTGTTGTCGCGTGAGTCGGCGGTGCCCCTCTTCTCTAGTACCAGGGAACATACCCCAAGAACATGCCCGTAGGCGTACGGGCGGCTGAGACGATGTAAACTGGGGGAAGGGACGACATGATGGGTATCTTGGGTATGCAGGAAAGCGGAGCGAAGGTGCAGAGAGCAGATATAAGGTGCCTCTGAGCAAATGGCCCGATCAACAAATATACCCCGATGGATCTTTTTGGAGTTTAGCCTTGCGCGACAACGGATGGCGCCTGCTGGCCCTGCAGGAGGCGCCTCGGAGCCCCATTGGCCAGCCGCGACCTCCGCCCTCACCGCCTAGCGCTAGGCCGCGGAACCACGTCTGAACTTTTGCGACAGCTTCAAGCTCGACGCGCATCACCACCGCGCATATACCCACACCCACCGCCGCCATGGATGACCTATACGACGAGTGAGTGCGCCCATTCTCTCCAAACATGTTACGCGACTGACTTTTGACAGGTTCGGAAATTTTATTGGCGAGGCCGAGTCCGACGACGATGTCCAGAGCACCGGCCAGGCAGCCGACGCCTATGTCCTCGACGATGAGGAGGAAGCCGAGACGAACGACCAGCAGCTTATGGAGGTGGACGAGGGGCCATCCAATGCCGTGATTCTCCACGAAGACAAGCAGTACTACCCTTCTGCGTCCGATGTATACGGCCCCGATGTCGAAGTCTTGGTGCACGAGGAAGACACGCAGTCGCTGGCGCAACCTATCATTGCGCCGGTAGTGCAGAAGAAGTTCACGATTCAAGAGACAGATCTGCCTCCGGTGCATCACTCGAGAGAGCTCTTGACGGATTTGATGAACTTCCCCGACCAGATACGGAATATCGCCATAGCTGGACACTTGCACCACGGAAAGACTGCCTTTATGGATATGTTAGTCATGGAGACACACGACATCCAAGATCGTCTGGACTACAAGAGGGGCAAGAAGCGGGAGGAGCAGCTGCGATACACCGACGTACACGTGCTCGAACGCGAACGAGGCCTCTCCATCAAGGCTGCGCCCATGAGCCTTGTCCTGCAGAACACGAAGTTGAAGTCGCATCTGTTCAACATCCTCGATACCCCCGGACACGTGAACTTCGCCGACGAAGTCGCCGCCTCGTTGCGCCTGGTTGACGGAGTGGTCTTGGTGGTGGATGTGGTTGAGGGTGTGCAAGTGAACACGGAGCAAATCATAAAGCACGCAGTGCTGGAGGATCTGCCCCTAACACTTGTGGTCAACAAGATGGACCGCTTGATTCTAGAGCTGAAGCTGCCGCCCAGCGACGCATACTTTAAGATTAAGCACGTAATCGAGGAGGTCAACACTATCATCGAGAACACCATCCCCGGCCGCGGCGAGAGCAGACGAGTAAGCCCTGAGAAAGGCAATGTCGCTTTCGCTTGCTCCAGCATGCGATGGTGCTTCACCATTCAGTCCTTCGCGAAGATGTACTCCGACTTTTACCCCGGTCCATCGAAACTCCCAGGTTTCGGCGTTCCGATGAAGGGTCTGGATATCGATAAATTCGCCATGCGTCTTTGGGGCGACATCTTCTACAACCCTGGAAGCCGCAAGTTCAGTCGCAAGCGGCAGGAGGAGGGCTCACAACGGTCTTTCGTACACTGGATCTTGGAGCCTGTCTACAAAATCTACTCGCACACGCTAAGCCAGAGCCCGGACGACCTGAAGGACACCCTCGACACTTTGGGCATCCGACTGAAGCCATCCGAATACAAGACCGACGCAAAGGAGCTGATGCGCCTTGTATGCCAGCAGTACTTCGGGCCATCTCTCGGTTTCGTAGACATGATCACCCAACACGTTCCTTCGCCCGAAGAAGGTGCGCAACGGCTGCTGCAAAGACACTACACCGGACCTCTGGATACGAAGACCGCCGAAGCCATGCAGAAGTGCGACCAGAACGGACCCCTAGTCATACACGTTACGAAGTTGTTCAATGCAACAGATGCCAAGTCGTTCACAGCACTGGGCCGAGTGATGAGCGGTACTGCAACTTCACCGCAGTCGGTGCGTGTTCTTGGTGAAGGCTACACGATCGAGGATGAGGAAGACATGGTCGTTGCGACAGTAACAGACACATGGATAGCGCAGTCACGATACAATATCCCCGTCAGCGGTGTTCCGGCAGGTAACTGGGTGCTGCTCGGCGGTGTCGACAATTCGATAGTCAAGACGGCGACGATTGTAGCTACCAAACTCCCCGAAGACGAAGACGCCTACATTTTCCGGCCCATCCGCCACTTCTTTGAATCCGTATTCAAGGTCGCAGTCGAACCGATAAACCCCTCCGAACTACCGAAGATGCTTGACGGTCTGCGCAAGATCAACAAGTCATACCCGCTCATCACAACCAAGGTCGAGGAGTCAGGAGAGCACGTTGTTCTCGGCACGGGCGAATTATACATGGACTGTGTTCTGCACGATCTGCGACGGCTATACGCCGATATGGAGATCAAGGTGTCGGATCCCGTAACAAGATTCTGCGAGACGGTGGTTGAGATGTCCGCCATCAAGTGCTACGCGCTTACACCGAACAAGAAGAACAAGCTCACGATGATTGCTGAGCCGCTCGACCCAGGTATCGCCGAAGACATCGAGGCTGGCAAGGTCAACATCAAGGATCCCGTAAGAGTAGTTGGAAAGTTCTTTGAGGAGAACTACGGATACGACTTGCTCGCGTCGCGCAACATCTGGGCTTTCGGACCTGATGACATGGGCCCCAATATCCTACAAAACGACACACTTCCCTCAGAAGTCGACGGCAAGACTCTGCGAACGGTGCGCGATACGCTTCGACAAGGTTTCAGCTGGGCTACTCGAGAAGGCCCACTTTGCGAAGAGCCCATTCGCAACACAAAATTCCGAATTACCGATGTCGAACTTGCGCCAGAAGCTATCTTCCGCGGAGGTGGCCAGATTATTCCTACCAGTCGACGAGCGTGCTACTCGAGTTTCCTAATGGCCAGCCCAAGGCTGATGGAGCCGGTGTACTCGTGCAGCATGGTCGGCCCTGCAGACACCAAGAGCAGCTTATACACAGTCCTTGCACGAAGGAGAGGACACGTCCTGCAGGACGGACCCATCGCGGGTACTCCGCTCTACAACGTGCGTGGTCTTATTCCGGTCATCGATTCATTTGGTTTCGAGACCGATCTTAGGGTACGTACACCTTCTACAATCATCCCCATTACCTAGCGCTTATACTGACTTCCCGTAGATCCACACACAGGGCCAAGTCTCCCTCTCCCTCGTTTTCGATCGCTGGTCCATCGTCCCCGGCGACCCTCTCGACAAAGACATCACAACCCGACCGCTCGAACCCGCAACCGCACAACAACTCGCACGCGACTTCGTGCTCAAGACAAGGAGAAGGAAGGGTCTCGCGGAGGATGTCACAATTAGCAAGTTCCTGGAACCAGAGCTATTCCGTTCTCTTAAGGAGAGCGGCGTGCTTGACGGTTAGGATGGTTGTATAGCATACTTTGGAGTCAAATGGGAACGGCGCAAATTGGAAGCTACAAAAGCATACAGGGAACTCATGTTGGAGATGCGCTCATGGAAGTGGCTGGAGAATCGAAATGAAATATACCCGTCGCATGTCAGTACATCATTACCTTCCTCCTCTCCTCTCACATGCAAACATCAGTGCAGCACGTGATCTCCTAGAGAGCCGGTACGGCTATATAAACGGCTTTGCTCACCCACCCTCCTTCCTCCTACAATACTTTCCCTGAAATCAAAATACCCTGGGCGCAGTCCCATGTGTGCCTGTCTTCTGTTTCACCAAAACCCACCGTCACAAAGGTAATGTGGATTTCCTGTCCAGTCTTTTTCCCACCACAATTGACAGTACTTTTGGCTTATGTGGGCTTCCAGACTGGTGTTTTCCAAAAATCAAAACCATCGGTACAACAATACATGTCTCTGCCCGGGTCTTGTTTCCCATGAAAATCGTCAATTATCTGGCTCATGTGGGCTCCCAGACCGGTCTTTTCCAGCAAGATCAAAGCATGAAGGACACATGATCTGGTGCTTTGTATCTTTTGTTTCTCGTCAAAATAAGAATGTCCACAGCGCATGTCTGGATTCAGCTCTACATATCATCAAAAAAGCAAGCAACGCTCGTTATGTTTGGGCTCCTACGGGTCTCTTCGAACCAGAACACGACTGAGAGACCGCTTCTCCGATACCGATACTTCACTTGATTTGTGCGATGCTGGCCTACCAAAATCGACCACGACATTTTTCGTGTCCTCTGCCGGTCCACCAAAAAAAAGACCAAGAAGCTCAATATGTTCTCTCCGGTCTACCAAAACTACAACACTGCTTGCCATGTTCTTTTCGGCCTCTGAGAGTTTTACGATTGCCAAAAACAAATGGCCAAGTAACGCATACAAACGACTCGAAAGTCGAAATCTCAGACTTTATGCTGCAGCCGGGAGGACTTTACAACATCATCACTTTTCAGTTTCTTTTTGGGAATCAAATCGAATAACTCCTCGCGCCATGGTCTCGTGTCGCAGAGAACATGATAAATCATCGTCTGCTTCTTCTATGGTTTAAAAACGCAGATTCTTGCATCGTATTCAACAAACTCAGGCTTCACCACTTTCTGATCTGTCACCTGCTCTATGTCCTTTATGACTAAGTCAAACGGGATCATGTAAGAAACGCGCGTATGCTCGTTGAAGGTATAGAGTAGACCGACAATCGTTGCTTTCCTACTATTGCGTTCGTTCAGTAGTACGCAACTGCCGGAGTCGCCGGCCCTCATGAACTCTTCTCCTTTGCGGTCATGCATGACGCCGAAAGCCAGCATGACACCGTCCGTCGTTCCAAATCGCTGCTCCATGTCTGCCGGTACAATAGAAGTAGAGTCATGTCGTAGATTCAAGAGTGAGCCAATCTGGTTGATGTGTCCGTACGTCCAGCCAGTTGTCCGGCCCTTCTTAGCCACTTGCAAGCTTTGGGTTTGCTTGATCTTGGTGAATCGTGTCACTTCTGCTCCGATGGGCACTTTGATGCCTGTACCACCAATGGGAACACGGTCGCTCATTGTCCGCCCTGTGGCGACCTTGATCAGTGCCCAGTCGAGCGCGAATTTCAGGGTGCGACCAGCAATCTTGTCGGCCAAGGTCGGAGGGTGTGTGCCGTCCTTCCTCTTGAAGGCGTCGTCCGGTACGTTAACCACGGTGGATAGTCTTTGTGCTTCAACAGGGGAGTAGTCGTCGTTCTTACGCGCACGATAGCCCGACGATGCGATCACCGTGCCTAGAAGACGATTCGGGTCGGCGTCTAGGAATTCGCAGTCTTTGTTGGTCGCCGCAGCCATGCTTTGCGCCCAAGCGTATTCAGGGTGGTATGGATTATCGAAACTTGCAACAGCTTGGTCATGTTCGTATTTATCCATTGCTTTGTATTTCAGGAACCTCGTGTGATCTGGGTTGGATGGGGCTTTGATCTTGACTAGACCTAATTGCGAGATCTCATGGTTGACACTTAGGTACTCCCCGACAGACATACCGCGGTTGATGACACTCGTTGGATCGTGTGTTGCGACGACGTGGTGGTTGGTCAAGGCGCAATTCGTCTCATTTCCCGCCGCATCCTTGAGTACGAGGACAGCGCCGACTGTTCCGCTGTTGTCCGGCTGCTCTACGCCGATACTCGCTCCCATCTTTACGACGGCGTCGTAGTCCTGCATTGTAGAATATATGGCAGGGCGTACATACGGTTCCTCTGCTTCTTCCTCGTCTCCAGATGTCTGCATGGCCAGGTGTGGTGCGTAAAGGAGGTCGACCTCCATTGCCTGGGGGAGTTGTTGACGTATATGAGGTAGGATTTTGTCCCACCATATGGCTGAGTCGGCATCTTGTGCGGTGATGAGGAGAGTAGGGGCGCGTATTGGATGCAATTCTCCGATTTCACGGAGGACGATGTCGGCGGTGAGCCACTGTTGTTCCTGGATATCTTCAAGGAGAGCTGGCCGATAGCACTCCCATGCTGCGACAAGCTCTGGCGCGCAATCTGTGAGCGGCGCTGATGGTACTCCGTCTGCTTTTCTGATGTCTGTAATCTCAACCGTAATGTCCTCGCGATTGGCCTTGTCGAAGAGTAATCTGAGATCACTTACCGCGACCTTCCAGGCTGCGTATTGTCCATTCACAGACACGTCCGAGGTGACTAGTAGCGTGAGGGGCGTCTGGGATGGGGTCTGGCCGGGTCGGACGCGCTTTACGAGGCCGTAGCCAAGAACCCGGACCTGGGCGTCCTGAAGAATGCGGGCTACGCTTTGTCGAAATACGCCGTCGCTCCACTCTGGTATCCATTGGGCTCCTATATTATCGAAGGGAGGTGCGTTTAACGCAGGCGCGCCGACACGGTAAGTCCATCTCATGTCCATCTTTGGTGTCTCGCGTACGACAAGTGGAGGTGGAGTTCAGCGGTCGGTTTCGCTTTGAGCTTTGAGCTTGTGAATTCTTGGTTTCGGGTAGCATGAAACATTGAAAATCCAGCCATCTCGTTCTTGGTGAGTGCTTAGGACGAAAGGAAAGATCTGTAGAGGAAGGCCTTTTGTACTTAGACATTTGGTGCGGTACTGGGGCAGACGCTTGTAGAACCGTGGTATAGCTGCAGGACGGACGTTGGAAATTCGCAGGAGAGGCTACGCTGACGTACGGGGCGAATCAGACCAGACATGACTGTTGAATTGTATTGCGTGGTTCACGCGGCAAGGGCGTCCCATGGATTGGATGAGGGAAAGTGGAACGTTGGAGTGGTGCGTCATATCTCAAAGCGGTAGCGATGAATCTGACCAAGTTGATATGCGACTTCCGTTAAGGGTCTTGGTAATAGGATGGGGTATGTGCGGGGCCCGGACAATGCGCAAGCGCCTACATGGACGACAGAACTGGCAAAGATCGGGATGAGATCTGGGCGTCGAAACGAGTCTGGCGGGACCTGAACACGCCAGCTGGTCGGAACATCCGTGATTATGTTGCGCTCATGTCAATCCCTCCCACCGTACACCACCGGGTAGCGTTGGAAGAGCAAGAGCAGATTACGGAAGGAGAGACTATCACTGCCAAGTTGAAAATCACAAGGACTCACTTGCGGCTGACTCATGTTCCCGTATCACGCTAGAGACTGCACCCTATTGGTGCGCCGCATCACAGTGACTTTGACGTTGCTGGTCCTTCGAGATGGCGTGAGGCTTATCGACCTCTCAGGCAACTCCCATTTATTGATGCAAACATGAGCAGATTCTAACATTCCCACGGCTCGGAGACATCGCCCACATACGCACTAAGGCTGTATACGAAGCCCAGTTTATTCACCTCTCTATACTTGATGGTCGGAGAGGCTTCGCGAGTTATAAGTGACCGTGACCTCGGAATACTGATGCGAGGAACCGCTCGTAGTTCTCCCATAGGTGGCTCGCGTCATGGAGACGCCTAGATTTCCAGAACCTGTGGAGGCTAAAAGATACTAACTCATGAAGAACTCGAATTTCTGGAACCGCTTTGAGGTATACAAAGTTTTTCACAAAGGACTTTTCGGTCACAAAACATAGCTCTGGAAACTACATGAATTTTTTGAACTAGAGCCTAAAAGCTTGCCAGCCCTTGAAGTCATACACGAGCTATCATAAGTATCTGAATGTAGCCCACTTGAATTGTTGTAGACGTCTGGACGAGCTGCGCACAAAAGCTTCTTGGTTCCACTGAGGTACCGTTCTTCCATTTCCACTCCTCGATCGTTTCCTAGTCTCATCCGCTTCTTAATTCATGAGTTAGGGAACTTGTAAATTCCTCGGGTCTTGGTATGTCCAGCCATCTAAGCTGAAGCAGGAGCTCGGGCTCCAGTCATCTTGACGATTATGTTGTACGTGAGCTCTCCCTCGCTGTGGGCGGGGAGGCCCATGCCACCTTCACCGAACGACTCCGAGTCCTGAATACACTCGATCATGCACCAGATTTCGTTGAGGTTGGTGACTTGAGTATGGATGTTGAATGACGTGACGCGGGTGCCGATGGGTACCCCGTTGGCAATGCCGTTGACGCTGCCGAAGTACTGAACGAAGGGTATACCGTCAAACGAACGATCGTGAGGCTTGAGGCCGTAGAAGAGTCGGAGAAGGTTGTCCAGGCGTGCTGGTGTGAGGCGCCATGGGTTCGGGAGGTTGTCTGGATCACCGCCGGCGGCGAGGAAGGGTGCGTCTAGATAATAGTGTATTATACTTACAATTTCTCTTATTTATAAGAGTATCTTTTTATTAAAGTTATTAATATTATAAAAGTTATAAGTAGCTTATTTTACTTTATATTATTATAGTACTATAAAATAAAATAAATAAAACTAAAAAATAAAATTATATATAAGTATAAGTTAAAAAAAAAAAAAGTAATAAAAAAGTAACTACTATAGATACTACTTTTTAAGTATACTATATATATATAACTATAGCTTTTAATATACTTACTATTAACTTAGCTACTAAGCTTAGCTTTTATAGTATATTACTACTATTTAATATCTTAATAATACTTTTATTTTTTATAAAGTCTACTATAGTAAAAAAAAAAATAGTAAAGCTAAAATTTACTTATTACTATTTTATTATTATTTTTAAACTTATTTTTTTTAAAAGTTTTACTACTATACTATTATATTATATAAAAACTTAAAATACTAAAAAGTACTTTTTTTTTTTAAAAAAATTTAAAGTATATTATATATACTAAGAATATAAATATAGTATATATAGCTAATATCTTATAAGTAATAACTTAGTAGCTAAGAACTTTCTAATTACTAAAAAAGTAGTAGTATTAAATTTAGTTTATTAACTTTAGCTACTAAGCTTTTAGCTAATACTTTATAAGTAAGCTATTTTAAGTACTATATTTAATAATAAAGTATAATATAAGTAAGTACTAGCTATCTTAGCTAGATATAAGATCTTTATCTAATATTAGTATAAATAAAAAAAGTAAAAAAATATAGTAAAAATAGCTAAATAGCTATTATAAGTAATAAGTTATTTAGTTAATTATTTAGATTATTTAGTTTATCTAGTGCTAGTACATTAAATGTAAAGTCTGCGTCTAGATAATTAATTAGCTTCGAATTTGTAACACTTGTTTCTGCAGTACTTACTGATGGCTGCAAACCTGTCTCTCTCGGCCACCAGTTCGCGAGTGTCTGCCTGGAGGCGGGCCACCTTGGCCTGGACCTCGGGGGACAGCTGACGGGGGACAGTAGTCACTTCTACAAGCCAGATCTCGGCGGAAGAGCTGGGGGATGCCATGATGATGTTGGATTGAATGGTCTTGGTGGCGCTTGTAGTATTTGATGTATTGGTGTGTTGTGTTGTAGAGGAGTGTAGAGTCGAAAGTTGAAATCTCGCTCTCACCTTCACTTTATATAAGTGGGCACCCAGGTATCTCCCACGTGCTGAGCCCTCTCACCTGTAGCGCACGCGGTGAGCTATCGCAAAGCTTGACGTAAATCCTGCTCGAAATGTGCTCGCCTGTAAGACTGTTGCGATGATCTTGCTTCGGAGTAGCTAGAATGCGTGGTGACTACATATTATTCAATGTAAATAAGTTTACACTTCCTGGGACAATGTATAATCCAGCCTTGAAATATTTTCAAACAATGCAAGACAAGTTTTGCCACCTTTAGTAGCACTGAAGGCGACTTTGGTACAAGATTGTGGTATTGAGTCGGGGAAAAGAAAAAGGCATGTGAAGGGATTTTGTAGGCGCCCATTTGCTATCGCGCTGAGCTTGTGACTTCGCAGTATGGACGACTGCTGATGAATTACCCGTATCATAGCCATGGCGCAAAGAAGTTTTTGCGTGTATCGAGGTTACCATCTCCAACTCCATGAGGCTAATCGCTGAGTGTTTTGAAAAGGTACTCCGTGCTCTCGCAGGTTGAACATGAAACATCTGCACCGAGATTCTCAGAACAGACCATGGACGTGTGTGGCTAACATTGTTAGAAAGAATGCGGAGGGAGATGTAGAATAGAAGAGAAGAGGAGCGGAGTAAAGTTTGGAGCTATATATACGGCAGAGGCTTGCCCTCAGCGCATAACTCCAACGTATAGGTTTTGGAATACCATGTGATCTGCTGCATGTCTTTGACGTTTTCAAAAGCATTGTATCTGGCATGAAACATCATGCTCGGATTTTGGAGAAGAGAAGCCGTCATGTCGACATCAATTGCAAGTTCTGATAAAGGCGAATCTTTTGTGGTTAGTTTTGATACGAACGGGATGCAGCGCGCATCTTGGATAACAAGCTCAAAGACCCAGAGGCGGCCATGTTGTATGCGTTGGGGCTTTTGAAGTACCGCTCACCAACATGAACTCGTATGTTCCTCTTTTTTGGTAGTTCGCGGCAAGCAGACAGCGAAAGACATCATACTGTTCGTTGTCATGTTCGAAGCAAGTCATATCTCGAACTCCTCAAGTTTTTCGTTTTGAGGAAGAAAGCAGGATAATGGAAGAATGAAGGCGGGTGTGCCAGGGGTGATATTTATACCCTACCATTCTCAGCGATGCACAGCGGAAGCCGATGCAACCGCCTGATCATGGACTGAGGCACTCTTTCTTTTTGGTTCACATGGATATCATGAGGAGTAGAACAATGGCCATATCGAAATTGGCTGTATTTTTTTGAGAATGTGGGATCGCATATGATGCAACCCTAGTCGTTTTTGGTGGAATGAAGAGACCGGAAGGGCGAGATTGTATACAGTGTACCCCGAGGGATCGAACGCATCATGAGAGTCTTTTGACGAAGTTCTGGCACATAGGTGCGCTTGCACCCTGTTTTTGGAATCCCGGCGAAGGGAAAGACCGAGGAACAGACATCATCTTGTCGGCGCAGATATTCTGGGGAAGGCCATGATCTTGTTTATGGCGACGGTTTGGTAAGATATAAAGTTTTTGTGTTCTTGCAAGAACAAAGAGAGAAGAGGCGACGGGGACTCGAATATCGTGAGCCGGGGCCGCGACGGCGGACATGCCGAATTTGTCTACGTCTTTGGATCGGTCGAGCGGTCCGAAATCCACAGATCATGGCCACATTGAAAGGTCTTTTTGGAGATGTATGCACATGAGCATTTTTCAGTTGTGTTTTGAACAGCGGAAAAAGGACGTGAACATGAACCTGACTGAGATAGCTTTTGAGACCAGCCCACATAGGCTGGACAGGTGGAGTTTTCGAAGAATACAAAAGCAGTATATGGGAACGAGGTCCATAGGCAGGAGAGCGCTGTTTATATAGACGTTGTGCCAAGAGGAGTCCGTTTGAGTGATCTCAGAAAGGCGTGAGGAATACGATAGAATCATAGTCTAGTCTATGGGCGGGGAATCTGGGTTCGTATACTG